ATCTACTTTCGGAAGATTTGGAAAAATTGTAGCCAACAATACACTAGATATTACCTGAATGTGTTAATTTATTGCTATTTGAAAAGGTTTCATTGGCTGTGTCTGCATTAAGTCAATGATACAGTATGTTGGTAAAAGTACACAGTTAAAAATTTGGCGTTTGTTGGACCATAAAATCCTTCAAGTTCGCTGCAGCCTTATTATGGTGCTAAATTGAACCGTATTACCGCACTTTTTAAAACTTTATAACACGATTTTGTGGTTCAACATCAACAGAAACAATTTTTTAGCTTAACGTTTTGTTATTATTTTAACTAATCTATAAAATTACTAATATCTATGTATGTATTCTTCTGAAATACAAAAACCTATTAATTTGAATATATAAAGACAATCTATTTGAAAATATCCTTTATACATCAAACTTTTCTAAATCAAGTCAGAGTATTGTTTTCTTTTCTTTTTTATTCACATGAAAAAATTTGCAAAATTTTAAAGATTCAATTCATTTATTTAAAAATATGTTGTAAAAAATGACTAGAAGTAGCATTTATACTCTCTTGTATTGCACAAATGTACAGTGCTCAAAATAAAAAACGGACCACCCTAAATCACTTTTGATCTAATGGTTGGATTTTCTCATTCTAGGACTCAATGGCTCGAGGGGGTAACATCAAATAAGTCAATTAATTAGTGCAGAGTATATTTTTAGTCACAAAATCAGAGACAAAAAGGTACTTTCTTTGAATATACATGGATTTTCTTAGACGGACTCAGATTTTTGACCCCCAAAATAGTCGCGATATGAAAGATATAGACCCATTAGTTTGGTCAGGAGAGCGGTTACAAGTTCGGACTCCTTAATGCTAATTTTATTTTTTGCGTCTTTCGCAATGTCTCGTGAACTTTTTAAGCGAATTGAAAATTTTTTGCACACAATCATAAAATTCATTTATCCAAAGACTAAAGTTAGGTTTGAAGGATTATTATTCCATGAGAAATATAATCGAATAGAATTTTGAAAACTTGTACGTTTGAAGTTCGATTTCTAAGGAACTGCCCAGCCGATTTCGCTGAAATTTTGTATTTCGCCATTTAAAACTGCATTCTTTAAAATGATGCAAGAATCTGTATACCTTAAATTTTAAAGTTTTTTCGACTTTCATTGAATAAAATAATAAAAAAAAATATTTACTAAAAGTTGTATTTTGCATGGAATTATCTTTGGATAAGTTAGTTTTATTATTTTGTGCAAGCATTTTTCAATTAGCGTAAAAAGTTTTCCAGATATGGTGAAATGCGCAAAAAGTGAAATTATCCCTAGGGGTCCAAACATTAAACTGTTATCCTGACCGAACTATGGGGACCATATTTACCGGAATTCCGGTTACCCCTATATTTTGGAGTCAGAAATCCGAATCCGTTGAAAGAAAAATGTATGTTTATTCACAGAAAGTACGCTTTGTGTCTGATTTCGTAACTTAAAATATCGTCATTAATTAGTATATTTAAGGTCACCCCCTCGAATCATTAAGACTCAGTCCTATTTTCAGTTCCGCGTGGTCTGTTTATTTTTTTGTGTGCAATCTACTCGAAACATAAAATTTTCATACAATTCCCTCATTGTTTTAGAATAGATTTAACATTTTAGGAAAAGCAAATTTGAACTGCGCAATAAATGAGGTAAATAATTCTAATAATTTTAGCTTCTTCCTCTTAATAACTTTAATATCAGTATAAACACGTGTTTTTACACCCAGTGAATTAGATGAATCGCCCAATGAATTACATGAATTTGCCTAAGGATAGAGTTTTTAAATATTCTTTTAAACTAGGTCTTTTAAATAAATAACAATCTGAAAGTCCATGACACACATCAAAACTTAAAAATATAAATAAATTTTGAATAATGCTGTAACTTATAATATGCATTGGAATGTTTGATATGTGGCATACAAAGCTTTTCCTCAACATAAAAAATTTTCTATTGATGATCTTATTATTATATTACTATGAAAGTATTGGATAAACTTTTGATATTTACTAGAAGCAATAAATTTTTTGAAAAGAAAGATTGTAGGAGTAAGTATATGGAGTGTGTAAAGCAGGATTGTGTTTAAAGTTTAAGCAGATATGAATTCTACATTCATGTTTTATTTTAGAAATATTTTTAAATTAATTTCTGTATTTTACATCACCTACAAATTAATGGTCCAACGAATCCTATACATTTTAAAAAAATATATATATAATTTTTTTACAAGCTTATCTCAAAATAATGTGAAAGAGAAAAAAAATTTTAAACGATGCCGAAAATTGCAGAATTTCCATTAATTCCGTTAAATGATTACGAATGTTATTCAGATTTAAAAAATTCCATTTTAGAAATACATAATTTTATAAAATCCATAACACTCCATTTTTGGAAATTCCGCTTGCTTGAAAGATCGTATACTTTTCCTCTAAATATTTTAACTAATTTTACCGAATATTATATTTTATATGAATGTTGAAACGTGTAAAAGGCATTTAAATATGTGAAAAACATTTAGTTGTAATAATTTGGTATTAATAATTAGTAATTTGGGATGCGTTAAAGATTAAACAAAATAATTGATGCAAATATACTGGGGATGGGCAAAATAATAGAAACACTTCTAATGCATTTTTTCATATTCCTCAAGAAATACTAACAGTATCATTTTATAACGGCAAAAGTGTTTACATCATGCGATTTTTCACAATTATCATTGTAGTTTAAAGCTTTTACTGGTTTGAGGGACAATAAATTACGAACGGAAAATAGTATTTTTAAATATCCTATGCCTAAAAATGTAGCAAACAATTTGTAACTTGTAACAATTATTTTGCTTATCAAATGCAATAATTGCACAAAATTTCGTAAGCTTAGCTTAGATATTTATGGAAATATAGACATTTTCATAAAATAAAAAAAAAATTTGTCTTACTTTCCTTTGCTATGCAAAAAAACACAAGACAAAAAAAATGTCATAAAAATGTTTATATCTTAAAATATGTTTAAGCGTGGTTTACGAAATTTTGTGCAATTATCGCACATAACAGTCAAAAAAATTGTTACATTTTATGGCGTAAGATGTTCAGAAACACTATTTTTCATTCGTAATTTATTGTCGGTCCCTCAAACCTCTAAAACTTTAAACTTCATTGATAAGTATGAGAAATTGCATGACCTATAAGCACATATAAATTTATAAAATGATTCTTTAAGTATTTTTTGAGAAAGGTCAAAAAATGTTTTAGCATAGAACTGTTTTCATTATTTTGTCAAACACTTGTAAGTTTTATTTATTTCCAAATAGTAAATTTATTCGGCAAATGTGTATGACATTTTTTTTATTTTATACAATGTTGTGTCATTGAATGTTGGCGCTGCAGAAAAAGCAACAAACTCAAACATATTAGTAGCCTGCTCTTGGGACTTGTTTCAGGTTTGCGGTTTAAGTCCGAGAAGGTGAGTCAATTAAAAAAAAAGTAAAATATCAATAAAATAAAAAATTTTTTATTGATCACTGATAACTCATACCTTTTTAGGGAGTAATGTATTTTAGTGAAAGATATCGTTTGATACCAAACGGGGGGAAATCTATCTAAAATTATCAAAAACTTTATGCACATTCTCTTTCAGACTATACTAATTTATTAATTTAGAACAAATTTTTTTAAGCTTAATATTATTAAATTATAATAGTGGTTATTTTTGAAGTAGGATATTTGCAAAAAATTGTAATTGGAGCGATAATATGAAATGATGCACAGTTACTATATACAATTAGGATGACTGGATGGATAGATTACTTCTTTCTAATTAATTTCAAAACAATATTTTTATTTGCTGATATCTCTCAGATTCAAATAACGGATCTGGTTTTTGCTAGACTTTTTTCACTCTACTTAGTGTTATCTTCTGGATCTTAAATAAGATTTTAAAGTTCAGGAGGCAAAATGATTTGCTTCAAACGTTTGTTTAAAAAAAAAAAAAAGAATACTTTAACATCTTGATGTGATCTGAATATTTCTGTTGAGTTATTCAATTTAAAATGCTTCAATTTCGGTAAAATAGCAATGAAGTTGCGGAAAGTACCACAAAACGTTTCCACAGATCCTTTATCAAAATATCTAAAGGACATGGAATTAAAATGGAAAATTAGGTTAATTAACTTAAGAAATCTAAATTGAACTATTCAATTTATCAGGACATGCATCAAGGCAGTATATTGACATTTAAGCTTAGCAACCTAAATCAAGAAACACAGCTTCACAATATAAATTATTATAAGTTTATATGCATTTAAAGCAAACTTGCAAAAGTTTTAAGAGGTCTGGAGCCGCCATTTTGAGAAACTATAGAAATTATAAAAAATAATAAGGCTGCCATTTTTAAAGTTTCATTTTGAAATAAATAAATGCAAACCTGCAACATATACACCCTTATTCAATAGCTTTTATTTTTTATCTTAAGAAATATATTTTTATTTTTATTTCCTATGAGCTGCACAATCAGTCTTCCCGATGAGCAGACCTAGTACATTCTCCAGAAGTGGTATCCACTCTTTCAGGACCACCACAATGGGTGAGATACCGTTGGCCATGTTAATTTGGACGTCTAGTTTCTGCCACACTAGATGGCAGCACCGAGACTCTATTTGGATGCTAAAGTGCACTAGGTATTTAATTTTGCCCGAAATGCCAAGAGCAAATAAGGCGCTCCAAGGATCTTTTAAATGCCGCATAATCAATACGACATGGCCGCTGAGGATTTTCTGAGGCTATCTTAAGAAATATATATAACCCGAATCTCACGTTAGTATCAAATATAGTTTTTTTAATGCTGATTTTTGAAGTGTGCCATGGGCTACCAGTTCTTTTCGCTCGTACTCATTATACGGATCTGAGGGGAGTGAGTGTAAATCTGACATTTTACATATGTAAATGTATGAATGTAGTGATGTGGAACGAACCATCGTCTGTGTGGTTGTTGTCAAGTGTCGCCGTCACCTCGTGGAAGCCCGAATTGGAAGAGGAAGGGACGGGAGTAAAGGCAGACGTTGAAGAAGGCCGAAGCACCTGATTACGATTTTGCAGGCCACGCAGGAAATTGTGCAGGTGGTCAATCAACTCACGAGTGTCTACAGATAAGCAACAACAAAACAGATATATCAATCGATGCAACACAAATTGCAGCAGTGCTTCATGAACAAGTTGAGATTGATTAAATTACTTGATGTAATTGCTGCGATTTCCTATTTAACAAACTTCAGGATTTTGCAAAATCTTCAGCATTTAACAAAGGTTAATGCGATCATTGATAATTATTTGTTTTAATTAATACTTATGCAACGTTCGGGCAGTCAAGAAGCTAAACATTTATGGAAATTTCTAAAATGTGTTACATTAAATTTTATTTAATGACTTGAAATTTTCAATTTTTATGCTACATATTTTTCCTTGTTCGTGAACTACTAACTTCACATTTATGTTACACTGCAGTGTATTGAACCATAATATCTTATGCATTAACAGCATCCTAATTTGGTTTCAAGTTGAACATCGTATCGTACTTCTTAAACTTGATAACACTATAGGATTGCCCGATTTCGGAAAAAACAAAACATTGCTGCTCAATTTGACCCGTTTTTGAGGTTGTAAAAATATTTTAACGGTATTATGGTTCAAAATACAGATATTAAGACTTAATGTTGAGCCCATTTATCTGAGAGTGTAGCCTAATTTGTGTGGTTCACTAACACTGCACAAATTTCGTGTAACTACTATGTTACTGTGGCCCATATAATTTTTTAATTTAAAGAATAGCTAAATGAATGGTAAAAAATAGGGTTTTTAATAGGAGTTTTGTAGAACTTATCTTCAAACAAATATTTGCTTATCACCGCAATCAACTACTTTTCAACAAATATTTGCTTATCAATTCTTTATCGGCATAGAAGCACTGCTGCATTGAGCATAAAATCAAGCACAAAACATTGAAAAATATATACAGTGCACTGAAAAACATGGTGTTAAGTATATGAACATGTATTTATATATATATTCATGCAAAAAGTTGTAAAAAAAGTTTCAAGTGCATATACATGTTTAACAACGAAAGCACCGTGCAATTATGTCAAAATGATTATAAGTGGAGCAACATATGCGAAAGAGTGTCATGCAGAAGTTTTATAGACTTACTTCGATAATCCTAAAAAGCAACCAATTCACCAAAATCAGCTAATGAATAATTTCATTTTCATAGAATGTATTTCTCTTAGAGTATTTAAAATTTTTATCAACAATACCACATTGTTTCATAAATAATAAAAGTTTTATACATTTAATATTTGTATTTTTGATTACGTTTTGTAAATTTTATGCGACAGAGTAGAAAAAATGTTTAGTGAAAATGAACTTTTACTTGTATTCGTTTTTTAAATATATTTGTAGCTTAAATAAATAAACTTAAGATTAGAAATTATTATTGATTAATGTGAAATATAGAAGAGTACAAATATGGAATTAATGATATTAATCTTGGTGCTTAAATCTGGAAAAAAAAATTTTTTTTGTTGTTGTTGTTGTTGATATTACCAGTTCATAGCACATTGTGACAAGAATTTTCTGCACTTTTTTGGAACTCAAAATTTAGATTAATACAATTCTGAAGTACGATAATGGAGGATTTTCATAGTTAATAAATGCTTTTTTGGCTAATAATATAATGTTTTTATAATTTTTGTGAGTTCATAATAGTTATTAATTATTGTTAAGTCCTAAACCCTAGTAAATACAAAACAAGCGCTAAAGGTCATCCGACGAGAAATCTTTTCGAAAATTAAAAGCTTTTCTCATCGAATTTTTAAGTATTTGAATAGTTATTCCTACCACTACATTACTTGTATTTATAAAAATTTGCAAAATTGAGAGTTATTCATTTATTATGATGATTTTCAACGAGAAGTGTAATGAGACTAAGAATGAAACAAAAAATAATTAGACAAATTATGAAAAAAACTATTATACTTATAAAAAAACTATTACTACAGTAACAAAGCAATCTTTAGCTTTTTATCTTTGAATTACCTTTAAATTTAAAATAAAAATCACATTACAACACTACATAAAATTTATGATTTTTACCTCAAATAAAATAAAATTATCTTAAAAATTGCACAAAAATTTACCACTTATTTAATTGAGAGAAGTTTTAAATTTTAATCCTCTGTAATTTTGTTAGCTTGTAATATTTGCTTTTAAACAAGGACAGAGTAATAACGATTCAGTTAATTCTTAAAAGCAAACACTTACACGAATACGATTAAGAATAAAATATTCATTTCGAAATTCCAGACGATATACAAATGCAAATGAGGTTTTCCCTAATTGACTTCATTTGCTTTTCCACACAATGTCAGTCTTGTTTCGATTTAGAAATGTATTTTAAAGACCCAAGAACAGCAAGACTTAAGGAATTTTTCGAGGAAGCAGAATAATTTACCACTTGATTATTTTGTACATTTCATTCAAAACAATTAAGCACAGTATTTAAATTTCTAAGAAAATGTGGGAATATTTTAATGCTTTTTCTAATTCGCAGTTGCAAACGATTGTTTATTCAATTATTGATTAGTAATAACAACGAGTATAATTCTTAGATTATTTATATATTTAACGTTTGTGAAGTATTATAAATCATTACGAGAAAAAAAAAATCGATTCGAAATTGATTCACCTAATTGGGAGGCGAGTGCTTTATTCCCTGAGCCACCATGGCCTGTTCGCTGATTCACGCATGTATTGATTTGATTATATCTATCATATTCCATTAATTTACTGATTTATTGAAGTACACAGTTACTCTTTAATTCATTTATTCACTCGCCATATCGAGAATTATAATTGTACAGATGTTTGCTTTAGTAATGGAAAATATTAACTAACGTAAAGATAATCTTAGGTGATATCTGCTTAAATTCATATCCTCTTTTCCCAGACTAACATATGTTTATTAATCTAAATAAATTTCCATAAATTGAAATCAGGAATAATATAATATAAACGTATATAAAATATTTATATATAAATTATAAATATATATTATAAAGCTAAAATATATTAAATCCTTATTTGACAAGTTAAAAATAAATTATTTATTTATTATATTCAAATTATTTCCAAAACTTATAAAGGACATAGAAATTTAACTATAAATTAACTATAAATAATTTTCGAACCAACTATGTTATCATAAAAAATTTGATTAAAATTTGTAAGCTAATATTTATTTGCGCGTGGTCAATTCATTAATTTGGAATTCCTTTGAGATCTTAAGATAAAAGATGTGTTATTAATTTTTAGTTGCGAATGTAAAAGCATTAATTCCTAAATTAAATTATTTCATTTTAAATATATAGCGATGAAATTAAAGCTTTGAATAACATTTTAATATCTGAGAGAAGCGTTAATGTTTTTAATAAATCTTTCTATAAGGTTAAAGAATAAAAACTGTTACTACTATAATTTATATTTCAATTAGTGAATAAGCATAATTTTTTAAAGTAGCAGTTATAATATATGAAATAAATATATTTCTAAATATGAAAAATGATGTGGTAAATATGTAGGGTACGTAAAATTTTGCTCCGCTAATTAGCATATCAAACAATATTTGGTACTGAAACATTTAATACTTTTCTCAGTTATGGAATATATTCAAAATGTCTTTTTTATACATTTGATCTGTGGTCGGAAAAACTACATTAATTTTGTACTTAACTATATTAGCAATAACTTAATTGCAAATATTGTAAGCTACAACTACTTTTTTTTCTATATGTTGTGACTACTTTCTAAATGTAGTGAAAAACTATTTTCGTAATGCAGTAACTACTTTAATACGTTTAGAAAAACTTGACTGTAAAACTTTATTTACGCCATCCTCAAAAAGATTCTGAGTAAAAAAAATTGCCGTATTTAAACATGAGTAATTGTTTAGAAATATTTATTCCAGTTTAAAACCAATTTATTCTAAACCTTTTTTTAACATTTTTTTAACCTTCAACTTTTTATGCCTTTCTCGAATATTTTATTTAAGAAATGCGTAGAAATTATCAAATATTAGCGATTTATTTAATGCTTTTAATATCCTCTGTGAGATAAATTATATCAAGAATTATAGAGCAAAATATGTTCTTCATGAAATAACACCAATGTCCTATAAGTGTACAGTGCACAAAAGGAAAAAAAACTGACTACTCTGAATAACTTTTGATCTAATGATCGGATCTTCACGTTCTGGGACTCATTCTTAACGGTTAGTGGGGGTGATTTCAAATATACTAAAAAATGAGCACTCCAAAGTTAGGACCCCTTAATGCTAATTTTACTTTTTGTGTGCCTAGCTTCATCTTGAGAAATTATTAAGCGAATTGTGAAAAAATTTGCACAGAATTATGAAATACGATTATCTAAAGATAATTCCATGCAAAAAATAACTTTTCGTAAATATTTATTATTTTATTTAAAGATGGTCAAAAATTTCTTTACAGTTTTTTGCATCATTTTAAATAATGTGATTTTATATAGCAAAATCGGTTGAATAGTTCCTGAGAAATCGAATTTCAAAAAAGTCAGATACTTAAAAATGGGTTTCAAAGGAACTATTTTATCGAATTTTCTCGAATTTTGTATTTTGCTATATAAAATTACATTCTTTAAAATGATGCAAAAAATTTTATACTTTACAATTCAAATTTCTTTAGACCATTCATAAATAAAATAATTAAATATCTACTTCAGTAATTTTACTTTTAAGTAACTTTTAGTAACTTTAACTTTTAGTAAATATTTAATTTACTGAAGGTTATTTTTGCATGGAATTAATTATCTTTGGATAAACAAATTTTATAATTTTGTGTAAAATTTTCTCACAATTCGCTTAAAAATTAGAAATATTCTTGAAAAAAAAAAGATTAAAATAAATATACATTTATTGAAAGTTTAAGTACATTTGTTCAAAAATGCTTAAAATGTATTTTAATTTCAATTTTAAGGAACAGAAGCTATTAGTGAAAATTTCTAATCATTCATTTATAATAGTTTTCAGTAACATTTAAATACGATTTTGTTGTGTAAATTCATGAAAAAAAGTGAATTGAAATAAATGTATTTCCATTAATACGGTTTCTTTGAAGCC